TGTGTGATGTGTGTGTGTGTTGTGTGTTTGTGTGGTGTGTGTGTTGTGTGTGTGTTTGTGTGTGTGTGGTGTGTGTGTGTGTTGTGTGTGTGTTGTGTGTGTTACTAGCATTACTATACTTGTGGGGACCTAAGTCTGTTTACACAGTCACGTGTGGGGACTCGCCTCCCTTAAGGGGACAAAATCATTAATTTTAGGGTGAAGACTTGGTTAGGTTTAGGGTTAGGGTAAGGTATGTGTTGGTTATGGTTAAGGTTAGGATAAGTCTCCAGGAAATGCATGTAAGTCAATGTAATGTCCCCTGAAGTGATGTATGTATGCATAGTGTGTGTGTGTGTGTGTGTGTGTGTGTGTGTGTGTGTGTGTGTGTGTGTGTGTGTGTGTGTGTGTGTGTGTGTATTCTCACCAAAGCCAGACACAGTGCTGTTTGTACTGGATCTCCTGGGGGTCTTCTTTGCCTTGCTTCTGCTGCATCCCCAAATCAGCACGTCGACCCTGAACACAACACAAAGGAAAGCCATGCAGGGAATTCAGTTAAACTCAGACAAGACAAACATAGAGTTGGGATTGAAATGGTCTTGTATTTTAAAAAGGGACAACATGATGGCAAATCTTTTCAAAATACCCCCTAGACAAAAGTAACAGATAACCATGTAAAACAGATGTGATGAAGAGTTTTTGGAATAAAGAGGTGTCCCTGCCGCCCCCTACACTACTTTTAAGTCCCTGTGCATAATGATTACCCACTGCTAATACTAGCATGGGTCAAATGCGGAATCTTATCGCTCCCATAGTGGTTAGGAACGGCCCGGGTTCCACTCTGGGTATGGGAACTACCTGTGAGCGGTACCTGGATAGGTGCCAGGTTATCTCCTGAACTGCAGAGGTGCTCTTGAGCAAGGCACCGAACCCCCAACTAAGCTTAATAGAATAAGCTAAATGTAGGAGTCATTTAAAATAGAATAAGATAAAGAAAATAATGTAAAATGAAATACTGTACACTGTACAGTGAAATAAATGACTACTTGTAGGAATAAATACATTTGTGAGATGCAAACAGACCAATGGAGTTATGAAGGCACTTCACAGAGCTCAGGAGTTGAACAGTCTTATGGCCTGTGGGGTAAACTGTAATTAGACCCTCCAGAAAAACGCGATTCTGCGATCGCAGAATTTACCGCATAATCAGCAAAATGGCGCAGATTTTTAAAAGGCCGCATATTTATCAAAAGGCCGCATAATCCCCGCATTTTTCCACACAAAGTTGAGAAGAAAAAAAAGTTAACTCATCTTGACGTGACGTCATCAGCTCGCGCATCACAGAATGTAAACAACACTGTATAGAGTGAACGTGTGGAGCTCACACGATAGAGAAAACACCAAGATGAAAAAATCTAATCCATCTCATTTACCGACGAACATTTCTACTAAAGACCTGGCAAAAAGTGGGGGGAAACTATTCTGCACCCCGTGCAACTGTGTGTTGGAGCATAAGAGAAAATCGACGGTGACGACCCACTTTGATTCATTCAAACATTCGAAAATGCTTTCTGCTGCTGCGGACAAGAAAGCCAAACAACTCACGTTCACCGAGGCATCAACCTCCAAAACCCTTTCGAGGGCTACAAGAAACGAAGTGAGTAGCCTACAAGATTGAAGCTGGTCAGATAACGAACGAGTAAATGAAAACAGAATGAGGCGGAGAAGTGTGTGTGTGTGTGTGTGTGTGTTTGTGTGTGTGATTAAAATAGCCCAATTGCTTTCACAATAAATAAACATTGAATGTGTTTAATTGAATAGGAAAGGGGTTTAACGTTAGTGGCAGGTTGTGTGTGAGAGAGAATAAATAAGACAGCCCAATATTTAATTTTTTAAAATAATTTAATTTTAATTTCACCGCATAAAATCACATAAAAACCCCGCATGTTTAATCGCATAATCAAGGATTTTAGCCCGCATAATCAAGGAATTTAGCCCGCATAATCAAGGATATTTGCCCGCGTTTTTCTGGAGGGTCTATGTAATGGAGTATTAACCAATCCTTCTAGAAATATGATGTCACCAACCTGCAGGGCGGCGTGGAAGGCCCGGCTCATGAAGCCCCTCCAGGCCTGGGGCAGCAGGAGGGCCCGGTGCCACTCAGACGGCTGGATGTTCACCTGCGGAAACGACCAGCAGGAGTTTTAACTGTGTGAAGAATGTAATTGGTTAACATGAGGAGGAGTGTGAGGGCAGGATGCAGACGTACTTCATGGATCAAGGCTGCCAGGGTCAGCTGGTAGCTGCGGCTGCGGCTGACCAGGAAGCGATCCATGGCTCTGCCCTCACGGTCCGTCTGCACCGGCAGCTCGTAGCTTAGCAACAGCCCGGCTGCAAGAAGGGTTGTAGCACAGGTCAACAAACCAGGCAGTTAAGGGTGCTTCAGAAAAACGTTAAAATCATTAGGAAATGTTCAAAAGGTAATTAAAGTGACAAAGAACAGAAATAAAAATTGGGTTACAACGCTGGGTAAGACATAAATATAATAATAAATATAATTTTCACTAACAACACACACACAGACGGAAAAACACAAACACACTAAGCTGTGAGCGCGTAAGTCAGGAAGAAGCATAAAAATGTCAACCGTAATAGATTTGTTTTGACAGCTGGAGCCAGAGTTGAACCACAACAAGCTGTAAACACAGCAACATAGGATCAATGTATATAGTTGATAAGGCTAGACTGACATCTCTAGACCAAGCCAGAAAAGAGTTTTAGATTTTTGTTCCTACAGTTTTACTTCAGCTAAGCCGTCAACATTTGTTCAAGCGCTATTGGCAGGGCTTATATTCCAGAATCAAAAGGTCAAATCTCCTGAACTTTGTGTCATTGCACCACATTTGGTTGACATGTGTATAAATTACACTTTGGTGGCGCTGTAGCAATGATATTTATCTTTAAAGGAAGGATCTCTGACAGTCTGTCTGATCCGAACATCATATCTTTGTCAAACATGTAGGGGATTGACACAATAAAATACCAGTAGAATAGAATGTCAACACAAAGCATCAAACAGGAAGGTTCTGCCCACCTGCCAGGCCGGGCTTCAGCCCAGGCTGCTTGTTCTTCTCATAGGTTTTAAGCATGAAAGATGGAACTCCGGCCATTGTTTTCCCCTGGTCTGACCGCAGGTTGCCTCCCCTCAGGGCAGAGAAGTAAACCCCCCGAGGCATCTGGCTCATCTCCTGCTTCACCAGCGAGGTCAGGAAGATCTCAAAGGCTGGGGAGAAACAAAATCAGAGTCAGAGAAGAACATTTTTAAAATATGTCAGACTGAACTGCTACGATCAAACTGTAGCAGATATCCAACCCTTTTAGCAACAGTGTGCAATATACCCGTGTGCACTTTATTTTGATTTATTTACAATCTGTAAACCCCAGTGCTGTATAAACCATCACCAACTACTTCAATATTTCTATAGGGTCAAATATTTTTAACCATGGTGTACTTATCTGTTATTTGTTTGTGTGCATACTTTAAATATTCGTTTATACTAATATCTACGTCTACACTTTTTTACTTAATCTACACTAAACTCTTGCTGTTGTAATACCGTATTTTCCAAATTAAGGAATTCTGATTCTGAAATGTCCACAACAATCCTGGATATTGTCTGTCTGCTGTCACTGAGCTCAGTTCTGTACCTGGCAGGACAGACCCAGGGGTGAGAGCCATCAGCTTCACATAGGAGGGACCAGGAACAGAGAGGTCCTTCTCTTCCTCCTCCTTCTCCTCTTCATCCTCCTCATTTTCAGGGGCCTTTGTAGCTGGTCTGGCCTGCAGAGCAACAGAAGCATCAGAACCAACATGATGATATAAGCAGGTTATCGAAAAATCCCATAATATCAGATGCAAAACGTACTACCACCATTAGGATAAAGAGCTGTGGATCGTTTAAAAGGGCCCCATTATGGTCATTCTAATGTTCAAAATGGTATTTAGTGACATGTCTCCATGCTTAATGTTCAAAAAGCTTGTTATTTGTCTCATACTGCCTGTCCTGCAGCACCTCTTTTCACCCTCTGTCTGAAACCATGGCCCAGTCTGCTCTGATTGGTCTGCTGGCCGGCTCTTTATTTCAATATTTACCTTACACAATTGTAACGTTTCTTTTGATTCAATATTAGTTGTATTCACAGTTTACCTAGGTGTCATATTTGAGATATTTAATGTGAATTTAAGATACAATATCCCAAATAAAAGTCCGTACTACCTTTTTTTTCACAAATATAAGTTTGGTGCGGAAAGAAATTGATAAAATCTAATGTAATAAAGAGAGTGTTAGGAGAGGACAGCAGGAGTCTTACTGCTTCAGGAAGAAGATTCACTGTGTGGGCCTCTTCAGGAAAATCTGCCAAAGCTCTGTAGCCACAGCTGGCCACCTCTGGATCCTGTGACAGCAACAAACATCCAATGTTTTTTATCAAAGCTTTGTACATACAGGAGCATTTGAAATACAAGCACAATGCAGGGAATATAGATGCTTTTTAAACATGTCTATCAAACTTCAGTCTATCAGACTATTGGTGCCCTGAAAGCAACATCTGTAAAGCTGGATAAACTGTATACATAATATGTATACAACACATGTGTGCACCATCCTGTATACTGTGTGTATAACTGTGTGTGTGTATTACAAATATATAAGCCTGAGTAAAAAGCTGAATTTATAAATCCAGCTTTAGGAAAGAGCGGTCAATTCAACAGGTGCCTTACTTAAAGAGCAACTTGCAGGTTAAAGACACCAGTGAATAAATGTGTAGGAAAATGATGAATACACTAGATTTCCCCAAAAATATACAGAAATATACACTACAGTGACATCTGGCGTCGTTTTAGTAAGACATTTTCACTTCCGCATAAAAAAGCCTCCGCACGTGACCTCCCGCGTGTGACGTAACATGGGGGAAACAAGGGGGAGAGCGGCCGGTTTAACGTATGAATAACGGCCATCGGAGAGAAATGGAGCTTTGGTGTGTGGAGAACCAGTGGAGAACAGAGCAGCTGTCTTGGTGAGTGACCGGCGTTAGCATGTTAGCTAACGTCAGTCACATCACAACATTGTGAAGTTAGCAATCATATATCAGGCTATAACTAAAGTAGTATTGATAATATAGTAACGTTACTGGCAGCACTGTTGATACTGATCCATAACAGAAACTAATGCGCAAGTATCAGCCGTATCTCGCGTTACCTAATGCAACTCCACACTACGGTGCTGTGTACCGGAGGGGGGAGACGCGAGATACGGCTGATACTTGACGATCTGGCGGAGAAAGGTTGTGGAGCCTTCGTTGATATGTCGTTGTAAATGGCTTGATGGAAAGCAGGTGTGTAGTCGGGGAGGGTGAACAGCTGATTGCAGCAGGTGAGTGGAGGTTGAGCCGGGAGCCAGGAGTGACAGCCACCACGCACACACAAACAACACAGACAGGGGGAATCAAACAAACACAAAGGAGACGGCTGGAGCAGTACAGCCACCACAGCGTTACCTAATGCAACTCCACACACGGTTTCCTGATAAAGCTGTGGAGAGTATGTGCTGCAGGAAGGTGGATGCACAACGCACCCAGGAACGAACGCTAGCTCCGGTCCTTT